CCTGTTTCAACCAAGTCCTGGTATAAATCCTCCTCTGGCTAGGCTGGGGGTGGGTTCCCAGTTCTAAGGCACTAGAAGTGACTTCCCTAGCTGAGTTGGGAAAGAGGAAAGTGTTAAAGAACAAGAAGGGAAATCCAGGATAATGGACATCACAAACCATAGCCAGAGAAACTTAGAATTATAAAATCCAACTATTTCAAAATTTCAACTTTCCAAAGAGAAATTACCCAAACATCTGAGCAGAAGTGGGAGAAAGAATAAGCCACATTTAAGAAAAAAAAATCTGAACTACTAGGTTCTTCTTCTGGAATTATTTCTTCCAAGACTTCTAAACTTATAGTCCCAGTTTTCTCTATCAGTAAAAGGAGGAGAATACCACCCACCTTTTCTCTAATGGCAGGCAACGAAGATGACATGAGTCCTTCAGAAGATGAATGTGGTCAAAACTCAAGGGATTTTTATTGACCAGTATTCAATCTGCCCCTCCCTACCTCAAATTTTAAAAATAATAGAAATTCTGGTCCCTTGACACTAAAATAGCAAAAGATAGTCATCATTTACTGACTCAGTCCTCACCACTCTCAGAGCATATGGGGCATGAGACATCTTGTGAAACATATGGTGTTCCAAATGTAATAGTGCTAAATATTTAATATTCCACAATGGTTTACCGTAAATCAAGTTGTGAAGAGTTGTAGGCAAACCACCAACTCCCACAGCAGAGGTAAGTTCCACTTCAGCTTTCCTAATCAACTTGAATATCTGTTTTTTAGACTTCAATCCAAATAATTCATTGGTTTTATTTTCTCCATTGAGAAGTATACAAGCTGGTAAAAAAGAAATGCTGGTCAATTAATCTCCACTTAACACTCCCATATTAGCGTGTCTTTGTGCCTTCGAGCCCATTTTTTTAATTATCCAAGGTTCACTTGCCTATTCTCTCCCCAAAGTTAATAATGGCCATCTGCCTTTAAAAGAAGTTATTAATATTTCTAGGTTTGGCCCTATTTCTTCATGCAATTGCCTCACCTAGACCTAGTCAATGAATAGTAATCATAATAAAAAAACTGAACACATTCCATGTACTCAATAAAACCATTTATTTAGCATTTATATACCTTATCTCTAATTCTCATATTAACTCTATATGTAGGTATTCTTATGTTTAAACCATCAGGATAGAAACTCAGAGAGAGTCGATATCTTGATCAAGATCACACAGCTTACTAACCAACAGAGATAGGATATAATTCACATTTTTCTGAATACAAAGTCCATGCACTTTGATGCAGCAACTGCTCTGCAACCCATGTAGAAGCTAAATTCACACCGTAGCCTCAAAATCAAAAGGCTATGTAACAGCTGTATGAAACGGGGAAAACCTATTCAGGCAGCCTGCTAAGCAATTGAATAGATATGTCAAATAAAATAGCTTTGTTTTGGGGTAATTCTCATTTTTTCCACTAATTTACTGCCCAAGTGTGGACATTAAAAATTAAGCTAAACCAAATCAAACTATAAAGAACAATGAAGCACTTCAACCTAAAGACTTTTTTTGTTGCTGTTAATTTAAAAATAATTTTAAAGGAGACTAACTTTTCGGTGGTGAGCACACAATGCAATATACAGATGATGTATTATTATATTGTATACTTGAAACTTATATAACCTTATTAACCAATGTCACCCCAATAAATTTAATTAAAAAATAAAGATTTCCTAAAAGCTGTAAAAAATAATTTTAGACATAGAAAACTTGCAAAGATAATATAATACAACCTCAACCCATTTTCCCCTCATGTTAGCATCTTAAATAACCATTGTACAATTATCAAAATTAAGAAACTAATATAACACAATACTACTAACTAAAGTACAGACTTAATCTGGAGTTCACCAGTTTTCAAAACTACCAGTAACACTTTTCTCTGTTCCAGAATTCAACCCAGGATCCCACAATGCCTTAGTTGATGTGTCTCCCTAATCTGGGAGCGTTCCCCAGTCTTTCATTGCCTTTCCTGACTTTAGCACTTTTGAAGAGTATGGTAAATTATTTTGGAGAATGTCTCTCACTTTGGTTTGTCTGGTGTTTCCTCAAGATTTGAATGAGGTTAGGCATTCTTGGGAAGAACACCACAGAGACTGTGTCCTTCTCAGTTCATGATATTAGGGGTATATGATATTAGTACATCTTTTTACTGATGATGTTAAATTAACCTTGATCTCTTGGTTAAAGTGATGTCTGCCAGGTTTCTCCATTATAAAATTATTTTTCCCTTTGCAATTAAAAAATATGAAGGAGAAAAGGAGATACTTCAAGACTATGTAAATATCCTGTTTCTCCTCAAAGTTTTGCCCACTAATTTTAGCATGGATCTTGCCCACAACAGTTATTGTAGTGTTCTAAAGTCAGTTTCCTATTTCTCTCATTCCTTCTACATGTATTAATTATAATTCTTCTATAAAGAAGAGCTGCCCCTTCTCCCTCTTTTATTTATTTATTCAATTACTCTATTTATATCCTTACAGACTCAGGAATATTTATTTTATTCTATGGATTGTAATGAAATACTATTGTTATTTATTTTTGCCACTCCTATTGTTCTGGTTTGGGCCACAGGTAGTTCTTTCAGTTGGCTCTGTGCCTTTCCTAAGGTCCTATCTTTTAGCTTTTTGAGTACTTCCTTACTTTGTGGGGCCATAAGATACTTCAGACTCATCTTGTGACTTCCCTATCTTGGCCCTAGAATCAGCCATTTCTGCAAGGAGCTCCTGTTTCTCTTATTGGAGAATGGTATTTAGAAGCCAAGATCTGGGGGCTAGGTATGTTCATTGCTACTGTGGTGTCATTGCTTCTAGGCCATCCCAGTGGACAGAACATGTAAATATATGTACATATACTAGCTCACATACACACACCTATTTCTATATCTATGTATGTTTTTTAAAAAAAACATGAGTTCACATTTATATCTGATTCCAATTCTAAAGACTTACCTTAATATTTTATTCAATATCTCCCCAATGAGAGAGTCAAGAGAAATAAAAAAGGTTAATGCATTTAAGTAGTTTCAAGCTATTGTCCAGGCAATGGATCAATAAACTACGGCCAATTGCCTATTTTTTGTAAAGTGCTTTTATTGGAGAAATGTGAGGTTTTTTGGAACACAGCCACATCCATTGCTTTAGGTATTGTCTGTGGCTGCTTTCCACTAGAACAAAATAATTGAGTAATTACGACAGAGGCTGTGTGGGTCATAAAGCTGAAAATATTGCCTACCTGATCTTTTACAGAAAAGGGTTACTGATCCCTGGTCTAGGCTGTGTTTCAATTTTTCACTTAGGGGATAGAATGGAAAGAATGTGGATTCAGATTCCATCCTTCCTCCAACAGGAATTCTGATGCAGGAGGTTGAGAATAGTGTACACACTAAGCATGTCTGGCAAACACCTAAGGGGGTTTTGTTGCAGCGTCAAGTCTGGAAACTACACTTAATCAGTAGTAAATGCCACACAAATCCCCTGTGACATCATATCAGCCCTACATCCCCATCAGTGTCCTGCTACCTTCCTCTCACTCAGGTAGCACACTAAGCATGTCTGGCAAACACCTAAGGGGGTTTTGTTGCAGCGTCAAGTCTGGGAACTACACTTAGTCAGTAGTAAATGCCACACAAATCCCCTGTGACATCATGTCAGCCCTACATCCCCATCAGTGTCCTGCTACCTCCCTCTCACTCAGCTAGAGGATCTCTGCAAGTGCTATGGAAAACCAAAATCTCCTTCTCTGAGCCACTGCATTGCATCCTTTTACAGGAGATTAAATCCCACTGGACTCTAAGAGCTAATTAAGACTATCCTTGCTTTGGAAGAAAATCTAATTTGTTCCTTACACAGCCTCCTCTTTTTCAAAAAATACACTCTGAGCCTCTCTTCATTGTATTAGGTCAGTAAATATGAAATTAAGAAACAGGTGAGGTTGTGAGGAAGGGACAGGAAGATGACCAAGGACACTGGTAAGGAAGAAAGCGAACTAAGGAAGTCAGAGGGGACCTGCCCCCACATCCCTGACCACCCCCAGCCGATCCTCTCACACACTGCCCTGCTTGGCAGTGGAGAGGAGTAAGAAGCAGAGACCAGAGCAGGTACAGAGCTTCCTAAACCATAGCTGTGATCCACAGCAGGGTTGCAGAATGGGAAATCCCAGGTGCTGGGAACTGGGATGGAGATTCCTGGGGCCTTTTGAGATGAGGAAAACACATCCCTGTGAGTCTGGCACGTGCCATGCCTGAACATACTCAGGCTGCTACGTTAGCTCAAAAGGTAAGACTCCCCCGCTCACTCTTACACACCAACAGAGACCAGAAAGAACAGATGTGTCCAGGAGCAAGAATACAATGGGAGCTGTATACAATGTGGTGCTAAAGGAGCACCTTTCAAGGTATCTTAAAGTATCTTCTTCTGCCAAAGCATTTTTTAAATTGAGGTGACATTCATATAACATAAAATTAATGATTTTAAAATGCACATTTCAGTGGTATTTCATACATTCACAATGTTGTGTAAATGCCACCTATATCAAGTCCCAAACATTTTCATTACCCCAAAAGAAAACCTTGTATCCTTTTAGAAGTCACTGCCCTGTTGCCCTCCTACCAGTATCTTTTTATAGTGAGCGGTGGATTTTCTCTGTAATGATATCTTACGTAGCCACTGTTTGAGAAGCTTTGGCAAACTTTGGGTTCAAAGGGCACAGGAACATTCTCTCTTCAACCAGGTGGGAGCAGCTTCTGGTAAGTCCTAAGGTAAGTTTTCCTTTTTGCCCTACCCAGTCCAGTGGGAATAATGCTGGACTCCCACTCACGCACACACACCAGGCTGGTCAGTTTCATGTGGTCATAACCATGAGAGTGCATCATAATTACTCGGAGAGAAGCCTTTCCACATCGCACAGCCTGAGTGACTCCCCTAAATGGGTCCAGACAGAGATCAGCTCTTACCCGCTGCTTCTCTGGGTCCACATAACGAATGCCGAAGTAGTCCTTCTCCAGTAAGCTGTAGTAGTTGCAGATGTGGTCAATAAGAAACTGCCCTTTGGTCTCCCTCTGCAAAGGAAGCACATTAAAGTTTCAGCCAGAGCTCTCCTTATATGTTCATGTTAAAATGTGCCTCATCACCTTGATAGATCAGTGCTTAGAGAAATGGATTTGCTCACTCCAGTTCCTACAGAAAAGCTTTCCGAATTCTTTTAACTACAATCCACAAAGAGAACTTTTACAATGTAAGCCGTTACACACACACACCCAAAGGAACACCAGAAAGAGACACCAAATACCCTGCACAAAGGCAACGCACTCAAATATATTCTATGTTATTGTATTTTAAGCCAGTTAATTTTCTAATGCTATTTATAATTCAGAACACTGATTTCACAAGTCCATACCTAGTGGAGACCCACAGTTTGCAAATCCACAAACAATTCTACAAGCAATGCACCTGACTGCTTGCTCCAATTGCTCTGTATTCACTCAACCCTCACAACAATCCTATAAGAAAGATGCTACAAGAAAGGTACCCATTTTACATCTGAAGACACTGGGGCACAGAAAGGCTCAGTGGCTTGCCCGAAGTCACACAACATGTACAGAGCAAGGCAGGATTTGACCCAGGCCCCCACTGGGCTGCAGAATCCAGGCTAGCACCATGCCATTTTGTTTCCCTGGAGCATGGGTGAGTCCACCGGGACTCTGCTAGAAGGCAGGGTCTCGATGGTATGGAAATGCAATGAGTGGTGTTAGATGGAACACCTCAACTCTCACAGAGAAGGTGGAAAGCTAGTTGCCTCGGGCCTCAAAGCCACCATAACACTTCCATAAATCAACACAGAAGGGCACTGTGAAAGACTAGGGGAAGCCCAGGCCTGAGATTCAAACACAGGCCAGGTGACCTGGGGCGAACTGCCAAGGTGTAAAGTAAGCTGGTTGGACTAGGTGATTTCTAAATTGGTTAGATTATTTTTCCTTTTAGAATTCTATGAGTGAGAGATGCGTCAGCCAAATCTGATTAAGATAAATACCATTACAACACAGCCCTTTTAATAACAAAGAACCTTCTAAGCCCTCATCAGGATATTCGATAAGACAAATTTCTGCTTCAATCAAAGTCGCTGACAGACCCATGGAATGTTTTAAGGACGGAATGTGACCTATAAAAATAAATGAAGAAATTAGAGACGTTAAGTGAGCCACTCTTCCAAATCCACTAAAAGTAATTTGGGAAAATCAGTTTGGGCTATGTTACATGATTATCTTTTCATTAGAAACTACTACCATCAGCTTGAAAAGTTGATGAAAAAGCCACTCGCTGGCCTGGGATGCACCACACTGACTGAAGGACTGAGGTTTATAAACCCACGTTGTGATATGAAGCCTCAATTTTCCTGAAATTGCTTCTGAATTTAATTTTGAATGGGCGTTGAGCCTTTACTTCCTTCCTAAGAGAAGCAATTTTAATGTAGCTCAAAAGGGACAAAACGTCAACATGAAATTTATTTTTAGGTTTCTGTAATTGTTTTTAACTCAGGAACTCCAAATGACCAGCTATATCTATGACAGCTAAATCCAATGTCCCAAATATAATCAATGGATTTGGTTCCTTTTACAGATTTACTCTGTAACCCATCCATCTTAAAGAGGCTGCTGCAGGATCAAATAATGGGACATAACACTTGAGTTCATCATTTTATGATTGAATTGCCAAGCTTTTTGCAGTAGGATTTACTCTAGTGGACTACCGCCACCATATGCAAGACACACAAAATATATGGGCAAGGCAATGCCTTCTGATGGCGTGAGATGGAGCAGAACTTGATTTGAATGACAGCTAGTATTAGCATTGTCCTCAATTTCACAGGTCCTTGTAGATACAAGGGGGTTGAGAGGAACAGTATTCGCCTCCCAGAACTGGTCTCTGTGGGAGAAAAAGTAAACAAAGAGGCAAAGAACTCGATCCTGTCTGCTTAATGTCTCCTGCAGTCAGTTTTTGATGATGTATTTACTTCAACTCCTCAGTTCAGTGGTAAAGTTAAAAAAATATATCTGTGCTTAAAGAAAAATAAAAATCAACTGGCTAAGTCAGTCATAGCTTGTCATCACTGAAAAAGTGTGACAGCTTTCAATCCTCACTTCCTAAAACTCTAAGCCAAGACATTTTGCTACCTTTTAGACATTGGTTAAGTGAGGAAAAAATTACCAACCCTCAAATACTTAATGTATTACTATAAACCCAGGTTTGAAGTTTAAATAGCTACCTTCAGCAATGAAGGTATGAACATAATCATGATAATTACTATTTATTAAACACTTACTGTACACCAAGAGCTGTTTTACATAATTTGCATTTACTCTGACAACCCACTGAGATAATTAATATTCTCCCCATTTTAGATTTTTAAAATGGACTCAGAAATGTTAAGTTTGTTTGTAAGTGTGTCAAACCCAGGTCCAACACCTATGCCCAAGCTGTTGTAGAAATTCAGTTTGCCCATCTGCTTACCATCTCTGTGAGGAGATGGAAGAAAACAATATGTGGATTTGGGAGCAGTATCAAGTGCCCCAGTTACAAGAATTTGCACAATGGCAGGAATGAACACTGGGCTATTTACTGCAACACTAGGAACCTGGGGAAAAGGCAGCTTTATAAAATACAAACCACATTACAGATGTCATTAGCTGATTGTCCAGCACCCATATACTCCTTTGTCTTTTCTAATAGAACCCAAACTTCGCTCAGTTATGCACATCTGTGTACTCACACATAAATCTACACACACACATACACAGGTACATGCAAAGTACATGAGCCTCAGGAAACTATAACCTACCCCCACCTACAGGCTCAAGCTTGGTCCTATAAAGGTAATCCTACCCCTCTTGTCTGATTGGTTCAGGAAAGGACACACAATCCACTTAGGCCAATGAGACCTGAGGAGCAATTAACTAGGGTTTCTGGAACAGCTCCTGCTCACTCTTCTGAAAGACCTTCAAGAAGAGACTCTCTCTGCCCTCCAGACACTGTTACACAGAGGCATGAGGTCTGAAACTGCTACAACCATTTTCAGACTTGCTTGAGAATGAAACCAACACAGGGTGAAGTCAAAATATTCACAGGGAAATGGAATTTTTGTCTCCAGATCATCAATCGTGAAGCTTGCTCTAAGAGTGAACTTCCGAAGAAGCCAATGAAATTCATTGTTGTTTAAGCCAGCATGAATTGGCTTCTGCTCATTGCAACCAAAATGTTCTCTTGGGAGAGAAGGGCAAATCAATGCCTCAGACCAAGTAGAATTACACAGAAGAGGACAATAGAGCAGGTGTGAAACACAATCACAGAGAGTGTCGACTAATGAACCAGAGAATCGAGTCCATCTACCAACAAGTTCTATTCAGCCCAGTGGTTTTGTATTTTTAAGTTGGGAGGCTGCACATAACATCTGGATGCTGGCTGCTCTTGAAAAGCTGGAGGGTCTGGAAGCTGAACCATAAAGACTGCTGCAACTCAGTATCAGTTGCCTCTTCTGTGTTAAATGAACCCTGCAGTCCACCGCATTCCCACCCATCCTGTCTTTCATGTCTTCCATTTCCCACACCTCCCTAGAAGAATCTGAGCTTTCAACCCTGATGTGAGGCAAACTGGAGGCTTCGGAAGGGTCCCTTGAAAGAGTTTCCTTGCAGGTGCTTGGGTGCATCCTTACAGCCAGGAAAAGTCCCCAGCGGACAGAGATTTGAGCTTCCCTACAAGTCTGTGCAGCCGCTGAAGTCCTAGTACCTGAGGGAGGAAGGGCCCAGTGCAGACTAGAGACATTAGGATCACCGAAATGAAGGGAGCAGGCAACAGCCAGAAGAATCAGAAGCACAAACCCAGGACGCTGGGTAAAGTTCATTCTGGGGTTGGCACTGTGCTCTCAGGAACCCTCTCTGATGAACAGAAGTGAGACTGCCAGATGTCTTTTTCTGGTAATAAAGGTTGTGAGGTTCTTGTTCAAAAGGCCCTATTGCTTGGCACCTTATGCTCACAGGAGTTGCTCTTGAAAAGGGGCAGCCTCCGCAAACATACATCTGGAAAGAGCATCTCTGACGATTCTTCTAAGAAGGAAGAATCTGGTTCCCATCTGGATACCTAGAAACTGCAAAGGGGCTTCTAGACGATTAGAAGGCCCTAAACGACAATTGAATACGAAGTTTGCTGCCAAGAGTGTCTTCCAGGGACAGGTAGTTTCACTTCTTGCATAAATGAAGGGCCTCAATCCATTCGCTTCATAGGCAGATGAACAAAGAGTAGTAATGAGAAACTGATGAACTAAACGGTTCTGCTTCTACTGTTAAGGACAAATAGTGGTTAATTTAAGAAAGATTGCAGCTTGACTGCACAGCATAAAAATGCTCTCTGTTTATATCTCTGCTAAAAAAAATTCAAGTATATTTGTATAAATTCATACATTTCGTTATGATAGGCATCAAAGCTTTAACCAAAACAAAGCATCTCTTTAGAAAGAAATTAGCTTTTATAATTGGACTTTAAATAACAAGTGATATATTGCTTTACTAATTGTCCCTTCCCATTGCAGACAGTAATTGGTATTTGAATTTGGCTGTGACATACATACAGAAAATTACGTCATTGCAAAACGGTGAGGAAAGAAATAATATTAAAGCTGTTTAAATGGGGAGAAATGTAAAGAAAAACAAGAATAGAGAAATTTCTCATGGTTGAATCTTTGGTTCTCACACAGAAATTAAAAGTTGCTTTGACCAAGTAATATTCCTTTGTAAATACATACCGCATCGCTTTTATCTAATCATCTATTGTTGGACACTTAGGTTATTTCCATATCTTGGCTATGGTAAATAACAATTTGTGTTTTTCAAATATTTTCAGATATATGAAAGATAAAACCAAGATCTGGAGAAGCTGAAGTACCTAATTCTTAATACATGTCCATAATACAGTGATCCTCAGTATATTATGGCTAAGATAATTGAAAATATAGGCTACATTGATTAAAGGCATTCTTATGCATGATAAATATTAATAAGTTGGGGCAAGG